AATATAAATATAAATAACATAGAAAATAGAAAAACATCAAATTATAATATAAATCTCTTTTCGAATGTATATAATATGTTATATTATTTTATATTTTAAGTATTTTGTATAACGAAATATTTATCTGAAATGTTGTGGAAAACTTTGCTAAAAATTTCCGAAATTTTTAAGTACTTTTGTTCAAAATTCTAGATGAGATAAGATAACAACGCAACTTTTAAATAAACAAGACAAATATAACACAAACTATACATTGTAAATCAATATATTGAAAAAAAAAGATGTTATGTCAACAGAAAACATTATTTTGATTGAAAATAATTTTGTTAATTCACAGTTACGCTATTAATAAAACAAATACATCTCCTGTTTTAATAAAATTTTATTTATTTATTAAACCGTTTTTGAATCAACAAGATTGTTTTAAAATTAAAATAATGCTGTTGATAATAACATTTTTTTCAGTATAAAAAACAGAAATTCATGAGGTTATATCTATCAGTTTCAAGAATAAATAAAGTATCTAATATTTTTAAGAGTAAAACAAAATTCCCTAAAAATTCCAGATAGTAAACGCTATATAATATATAATAAAAATCAATTTGTTTCCAAAACTCTTAATTTATTTTACATTATAATTTGGCTGAAGTAGACTCAGTATAATCGGAACGTTCCATGCATTGTATATTAATGAGTAATTAAATTTAATCCCTTTTTCTCTAATTCCTTATTTAATAGACTTAATCCCTTCTTGACGTTTCAATAAACTAGTTTTAATCTTTAACCTAATTAATTACTCGTTTGTTTGACTTTTCATCAATTTTATTATATAACAATAAACATATATAACCAAATGATCACGCAATCATTTCCTCTCGTACGATCGAAAATATTACGTCCTTCTTCTTCTTGTTACTACTTCCAACTATAACACCAATGCGCGAGCAACTCTTGTATAAAAGTTTCCCACTTTCTTAACACGAAAAACAATCGAAATTATTCCCGCTTCAATCAACAGGTGTTTTCGGATACGGAGGGCGACTTTCGCGGAGGTACGTTACACGATAACGCACTCGAAAGGTTCCACAAAACGTTGCCACGCGACCCGGGAGTACAACGTCTTTCACTGCAGGACACGCGGTGTATTAATATACTCGTCGGCATTGAGAATAAACAGCTGATTCAAGGTCGACGCCCACCGTCGTCGTACGCGTTGAACCCTTCAACGACTCCCGGCTGAACAATCGCGATCTACTTTCGCATCGCTCACGGAGAATTTTGCCCGCTACGAAAACCTCCAAACTGATTTCGACTTGACAAAAAATCCCCTTTTATCTCGTTCGATCGTCTCAGCTTCGAGACGTGGCCTCGATACAATCGGCAAACATTTCGAGATTAATTGCCACCGTGGACGTGGCGCGATGAAAAAAAAAATATACGTATTTTATCTTGGCTCTCTCGCCGCGCTTCCGTCACGATTACGCAAACGACAGTGCGAGAAAAGAAGCTGAGCGAAATAAGTGGTCGTAATAAGCCACAAGGCATCTAAACGCTTGTCTATAGTAAGCCATATAAATTATAGTCGGCGTGTCTTGTCTCGTGATTCACTAAACGATTAAAGACTCCAACGTAACTATGTGAAGTCAATTTTCGTGAACAAATTGCTATGTAGATTGAGAATCAGTCGGATGATTGTTAGGTACCAGCTATCTCTAACAAAGGTCGAGGTATAATGAGAGCGATTAATTAATTCATTATAATGAGGCGCGAAATCTTCAAAGCGGGATTTCTTAAAGAATTTCGCTTGGGATTTTATCGCGTGCGTCTCAATGCGATAAAATCCACGCTATTATGTACGCGCTATTATATGGCTATTTTGCGTGGTCATCCAAGTGGTCGACGACGGGGCGATCCATCTTGGCTCGAGCGCGTGACGATTACTGGTAAGCACGTGCTCGGTATCAATTATCATCCAAGTGAGTAAAGCGACCGCGAGCGCGAAGGAATCCCGGCACGCGAATCGCCCGAGCGATTGTCGGGAGTGTGTCGTGGGAAAAAGGCCAAACTGGAGGGACTGCACAACTGACGATATAGATCGCTAATTTCTATTTTCTTCTACAAAAATCCAATCAATACTGGTTAATTTAGCATTGAAAATTAAATTTTTGTAAAGGAAGCACATCTGGAAACATTTCAAAATTTTCAAAGAATTTTCAATAAATCGCAAGCGGAAGAATATATCTCTTAATTAATTATGATTGTCAAGCAAAGAAAAAAAAACAGCTTAATGTGAACTCGAAGGTATTATTCGCGTGACTGAGCAGAAAAAAGTTATTTTGCAATCTTCATACACTTGTAAAATGTTATAGAGTTATTACTCGGCACGAATTTAAACTTATCTGTTATTCAGGCTTAATTGTTGGCAGTCGATACTATTATTATTATTGCTGAACGGAAAGAAGTTTTATTGGAGTACTATCTGAAAATGATTTTGTTGGATTATAACAATAATCATGGAGGAAACTCGAGCATTATGAAAGCAACATTTTGACATTCTAGAAACTAGCTTGAGCGTCTTATATAATTATTTTGAGTCGAATAAAATTATTTCGCCATTTTTGTACATACACTTTTGAAATGTTAGAGTTACCACTCTAACACGAATTCAAACTTATTTATTATTCATCAAGCTTACAATTTTCTCGGCAATGGAAAGAATGGTTTTGCTGAAGGATCAAAAGCTTTAATTAGATACACACAGATTTGAAAATAATTACGTTGAACAATCAAAATAATTATCTACGGCGATCGAACATTATGATAAATCTTGACATTCTAACAACTCAATTGAGTATCATTATTTAAATATTTAGATATTTCAGCAAAACCGGTTTGTTTGATTTACACCGTTTGCAACAGTTTTACTGAGAATTTTGCGCGCGAGTGTGTGTGTGTGTGTGTGTGTGTGTGTGTGTGTATGTCGTTTATACAGGTACACACGTGATCTCATCCTTGGCACTTTTTTCAGTGCAAAACTTCACAAAACTCGAGTGCAAGAATGGACTCGATGGGAAAAGACATTTTTCCGGGCTGAACGCGAACGGCACGTAGTTCACGACGATGAACGGCTTGAAGGAATTTATCGTGGAGTCGTGAAGTCATCGAGAACTTTCCGAGACATCGACGAACTCGGCGCGGCGGGTATTTCCTCGTGCGATTTTCGTCGATGACTATCGTGTTTAGCGGCGAACGAAATGCGATTGTTACCGCGCGCTCGAAGAATTCGTGCCGCTTTAACAGACGCAAGGAACTCGGAATGGCACGCGAAACGCTGCAAATTTCATCGGCACGACGTGCTGCCAAAAGTTTTCACGGATGAGACGTTATCGAGAACGAGAATGATGTTGAGTCTCGTTGATGCTGATCGGGATAATCCCCGTCGTCGCCACGTTGTCTGCCGCCGCCGACTGAAGCAATCCCGGCGGTTTCCGCTGCGAGTGACTTTGTTATTGGATTCGCTGAGCCGAGCCAAGTTGTGCAAATGTTTAATTTAAGAAGAGAAAAACAAATAACGCGTATATATTTTTATTATTACACGCTATTAACATCGATAGTACGAGCCGGTTGTTGATCGAATGATTGCAGGGAAAATGAAGAATATTTCCATTGCCGATTATAATAATAGATCATTGATATGCAATGTGTCACTAATGATCTAACGCTTCTTCTTTTTCTCTTTCTAGTACTCTACTCGTGAAGATCTCTTTTTCGATTGCGTAACGTACAGGGTGTTTCAATATTATCCATTTTCTGTAAATAATCATAACTTTATTAATAATTGCTACATGGAAACAGAATTTATAGAAA